TAAAGGGGGGTGCCTTTGTGTGATTCTGTTATTTTCATTTTTATCTCCGATTCTGTGAGGAATCATAGTGTGACCCTCAGCCAAAAGTGGTTGGCATTTCAATCCCACACAACATATTTTTTTTCCGGAATTTTTTTGAGTTTTTTTTTTTTTTTTTTTTTTGGCGCTGGGGCTGCCCGGAATCCTGCCCGGGGGTCATGCCCGGCCGGGCACCCGGGCGTGTACCCGGGCAGAAGTTGGGTGCCCGGGCACCCGGGAAAACGGCCTAGGTTTTCTCGGTTTTCTTTCCTTAGGAATACGTACAGTGGCCCTAAGGGCCTCTACTCACCACATGCACAAAAGACAAAACATATGGTGGCATATTATTCCACGTTCTAGCAGAAGATTCATTCTAATTCTGCACATTTGGTGAGTACTGCAGCCAAGCCCTGAGAATCACGTGCAGAGACCAACAGGGTTAGTGAGCAATCCATAACTGCTGAAACATAGACGTGAATACGAATCCTAAGTATAAATTCAGCCAGCTCGTGCTCCACTTCGTATTCACTGCCTGCCTCGATTTTGGTGGAGGGTCCTTGCTAAATTGCTGCGAGGACCATTCAGATTACGGACATGGGCCCTCTGATACGTGTGAAGGGAATCCTTTGTTCTCTCTCTCTCTCTCTCTCTCTCTCTCTCTCTCTCTCTCTCTCTCTCTCCACACACACACACATCCCTAAAAAAAAAACAAAAAAAATTCAGCGCATCACCAATTTGCGCACAGCGCATTGCGCACGCACACTGCACGGCCCACCGCAGAAGTGCGCTGCAAGTATGAGTAGAAGAGATCCAAGGATCCGCAGAGTGATGAAAAGGACTCAAAGACAATGCAGTGTCAGCAAAGCATCAACAAGCGATGTACATCCAGATACATATGAAAATAGCACAATGTAGCGCAGCTGCAATGAACCTCCTAGTTCAACACCAATGAGTGCACATATTCACACCACATGCATGTATGAGTTCACACGAAATTCACACTGGAGACCAGAGAGATTAAGACCAGGTAGCGCAGGTTATCTTTTCCAGAAAGTATTACAAGAGCAATAAGAGTTCAAGTCACCAGCGCTCATCAGCGCATGCCAATAGGTAACCAATAATCAGCATAAACTCTCAGGTAAGTATCTCTTCCCCTCTGTTCTTCCCTCTTGTGTTTCTCTCCACCTTGCTGGTCTTCTCCCTAGCTATGACCTCGCTGTGTCGTCTCTCCCTACATGCATTCACACTCACTATCTACTACCTCATGGATCTACTCTGAATACACCCACTGTCAACCCTATTAACCCCTCTGGAGTCGACTACTAACAACACTTCTGCACTGGCGCAGCTATGGCTGCCTACTCCCTGCCGGCGCTATCTTCCTCTCTCTCCCTCGCTTAGCACAGCACTCTGGCCTCAGCGCTCTGCTCCTCACTTCAGCGCACAAGTGCACCAGCACTTCCACACTTCTTGTGAATGAGCAATCTGCCCGAATGTGAGTCGGGCCAGTCCTTTTGTAGTCTTGGTTTGCACTCCAACTCGTGCCAGCCTCTGTTTCTTGGGTCCTGACTTGTTACGGTACCACATTCCCTCGGCCTGTCTGCTTCTGAATGTCAAGGCCTGGAACCTTCCCGAATTTGCATTGGACTGCTGCTGCTTGGGCCTTTGAGTCAAGACTTTTCACTTGTGAACATGACTTTTGACTGTGGATATTGACTCTTGCCTGTAGGTCACGACTTTTGCCTGTGATTCTGCCTTTACTCGAGGGATGTGACTCTGAAATATGACTTTTCATTAGAAAACGTGACTCCTGCCTTTGAGACATGACCTTTGCTCGGTGAATCTGCCTATTCACTCGTGGGATGTGACTCTTCTGAATGGCTTTTATTATGAGGTGCGACTCTTGTCCCTGAGACGTGACTGTTTGCTGGGTGCCTGTTGGACCAGACTGCTGAGGTACCCGATTGTCACTTTTCTGAGTTTGACGAGCTCGGCCTTTTCTTGACCTGGGCATCTGACCCTGTGACCCAAATTTGGGGTCTGAATCGTGGAAAGGCCTTTCACTCTCACCGGCCTAATTCGAGGTCCGCCGAGAAAATCACCAATTTTATCTGTCTATTCTGTTAACTCCTCTCTTAGCTCTTTCATAATAGGACACAATATGCGGTGCCGTCTCAATTAACTCATCTCTTCTGAACCAGCGATCTTCTGAAGGTTCTTGATAGGCAAATCTAACCTTATACTGTTGCTGTGGTCTACCCCTGCGTCCTGATCTGTAAACATCTTCCCCAACAATTCTATCCTCATCATACTTACCATTCATATCAGGGGGAAACATAGATCTGCGTGATGGAAACATGTCATTACTAACGCAAAGCAATAACTTTGAAGTGTGGAACACCAGATACGTGTGCAAACGTGGAGGAATCTCAACAACATAGGAAGGACCATCAACATCACCAATCGCATCAAGAATCTGCCAGGGTCCTCGACAAGCGGGAATAACTTTTGAGAAATGTTCTC